GTTGGAGGGGATCCTAGATCTTCTAGTTCCAACTTCCCTGTCATAGACAGCAACACCTCCTACTAGATCAGGTTGCTCAAAGCCCCATCCAGCCTGGCCTTGAATGCTTCCAGAGAGGGGGCATCCACAACCTCACTGGGCAACATGTTCCAGTGTCTCACCATCCTCACAGTAAAGAATTTCTTCTTAACATCTAATCTAATTCTACTCTCTTCCAGTTTAAAGACATTTCCCTTAATTCTGTCATTATATGGTTTTGTAAACAGTCCCTCGACAGCTTTCCTGTAGGCTTCCTTCAGGTACTGGAAGGAATGTAACATCTCCTGGAGGTACATTACAATCAGTTTATATCAGGTATATTACAATCAGGACCCAGTTCTGAGTGTGACTGGACAAATACTGTCTGGATCTAGACCCTACAAAAATGAGTGGATGGCAAATGACCCCACAACAGCATTGGTAAAAAACAGATCTCTTCACGCTATCTGGTACTTTTAAGACACTATTTCTAAAAATACGCTATTTTTATTCAAGTGACTATTTATAAGAATTGGCTTTTATTTTTGGCACAAGCATTAAGAAATTGTTATTTGTGTGAAGGATTCTGAATTTATTACTCTGAACAAATGGCACTGAACTAGTTTAAACTGTTACATTTTGTGCTATCTGTTCCCAAGGAGTCTTTTGAAGTGCATGGTACGCCTTGCTCATTTTCTTAATGGTTTCCAAGAGTTATTGCACACTAAATGCAGACCATATGATAAGATCAGGTTTACACTGCCACAATCTTTGAGAAGACTGAATGGGTTAATGATCTTATTTCCTTTTACAGAATACTTCCACTACGTTGTTATTTAAGCCATTATTTTTGTTTCCTCATCCCAGAGAAGCATTAGAAAATTTCAGTAGTTATAAATCCTTCATCATGGCTTTTCAAGCTAGAAATGCCAAGCTGCATCCACCATTTACTTCAATGGGCCTGTTCATGGCAGCTATTAAAATGAGGTGGCATATATGTCAGTGTCATGCAGCATTATTCTGGCTTATCAGTACAGCTATACTTGTAAATAACTTTTTACATTATTAGAAATATGGTTATTACTTCTAGCCTTTAAAAACATATTTTACTCTAAAACAACTCTGTCTAAAGGAAAATTTCAGATGTCATTTCAACAAACCGCCGATAACCTTCACTTGCAAACAAAGGCTGTGTGCATACTATTGTCTAAGCAAGTGCCTGGAAGCAAATGCAAATATAAGAGTCACAGCTTTTCACACTTTTAAATTGCTCCTGTGCCGTGCCCTAGAGTGACCTAACCAGCTCCTTGTGGGATGACCAAACTTGGAAGACTGTAGAAAAAGGAGCTTCATATACTCCAAAATACAGATTTCATAGAATCATAGAATTATGGAATATCCTGACTTGGAAAGGTTTCTACCCACAGACAAGTTGCCCATGGCCTTTACTGCTTGTCTGGTACACTGGTTTGCCACTCTCACATCACTAAGCAGAGCTTCTGCTGGTTTAAAGACGAAATTCCTGGTATGAAAGGGTGCCCTGATACAGCAAGGAAATATGTCCTAAGCTACATCAGAGCTTTTGAAAGGCTACACATTCAAACACTGAGCAATATCAAAAGTGGAGTTCTCCAGTTTTGTAAGTAGGCCAGGTGCCTGGATATCATCTCCGCTCCCTGAATTGCTTCATTTCCAATTTAAAGCTGTACCATTTTCCACCTGTGACCCTCCTGGAGCTCCTACGGTAGCATCACAAGCACCACCAACCACTGACCCTCTGCAGCACATACAGCACTAAGCCTTCCCCACATTTCCTTGTTTTGACCAAGGGGCTTAGCCTGAATCATCTCCAGGGATCCTTTTCAACCCAGATTTCCAATACAGATTTTGCAGCACTCACACATAGGATAGAAAGTGGGTTTCCAAAGGAAAAACAGTTGAGAAAAATGATATAATGCACAGATAGGATAGACTGGAGTGATCATGAGCAAGGCTCAGTCAGATAGCCTTAATGGCTGATAACTTGCTTATGTGCAACAGGACTCCTTTATCACCTTTTGTTATATTTTCTCAATGCTGTTCCTCCCTATCCAAATTGGCCTCATTATCTCTGATTTTGGCCTGTCCCCATGACATTTCATAATAAATTCCGCAAAGTCTACAGGGGCCTTCAAATATCCCACAGTATTCGTCACAGTGTTGTTTACATCTTCTTATCAATTGCAAGATTCAGGTTGACCCTCTTCCAGACTGTGCCTTAGCAGATTTTTAATGGCCTGTCATCCAGTGGCTGAGTTGTTTTGGTCTTTTAGTCTTTGTTCCTGACTCCATTAACACCTATCTGCCAGGTTTCTGCATCTGTGTGTTTAATTCACCTTTCTTCTTATTTGGTATTTAATGCATAATGAATAATTCTTAATCAAGTAACTAAATTAAATAAATGCTCTCACATCATGCATGCCCTTGCAAAGATTGATCAACCTGAATGGTCTGCTGATGAAGTCCGGGATATAATGTGTGAAATGATAGGACTTTATGTGTCCTGTGACCTCTAGACTGTGAATGGTACAGTTTTTCCTGCATTAAAGGTTATATTGTAGGCCTTCTGGAGACCTGACAGACTCAGTGAATAGGCTTCTCTCCTCAGACCCTGCTGCGACACTGAGAGATCAATCTCCTATAGCCACATACTCACATATGGAAAACTTTTTATGTTTGTTTGTCTTCTCTGGCGCACATCTAGTCATGGTAGCAGTTTGTGGCTGGGCACACAAGAGCTGTAAGGCCCAATTCTGCAGCAATTATTCCATACAGAAAGGCAGTAGCATTCACGCATCAAATCTATCAAATCCAGCCAGTACTATTTACAATCCTAGAAATCTCAATGCCCAACCTCTCCTTATCATTTGTCACCTTCAGACAGCTTTCCAAATTTCAGGGCCCAAACTATATTGTGTCTGTGTAGAAATTTTGAGTTCTGGTGTGCACAAGGTCTCCTCAGTGGTCCACCAGGGATGCCCACATAAGAATCCTCAGAATACATTCAGCCTATCCCATGTGCTGAACAGTGGAAACAGGTTTTCTAGTTTCTCTGCCCACTATGGAAAGATTGTTGGCCAGAGCAGCTCAGGCAGACCACGTGACTGATTCCATTGACCAGAAATGGCACACTGCATTTCTAGTAGTCTATGTGGCTGGCCCACAGCTACTGAATGGACTTATTTACTTAGTGTTCTATTGAGTAGCAAGCAGCTTGCCAGCTGCAGAGAACAAAAGGCCTGCCAATGAACTGCCAAATCTTTCTGATAAAACACTGCCATGGCCAAAGTATCAGTAGTACTTAGAACCTGCAGAGCAACTGAAGAGGCAGTAGGCAGCCTGTTTACTGTGGGCAGCAAATAAAGACTGCCTGCCTGTGCCCTGTTAATGGAGCCTACTTAGGTGCCATGTGTGAGCCAGGGGCTAATAAATCCTAAGCGTGTTGTGTGCTGTGCTAGAGAGGTGCCCAGACGGATTGGCACAGAGCTCTTTGGAATTCTGTAAGAAAAGTATCCCTTCAAGTGCAATGCAATAGGGACACAGAACATCTCTCTAGAGTGCTTCGATTGATATAGATGTCACTGAAAACATGACCAGTCTTGAGGGGCAGCAGAAAAAGCTGTCAGCATTTATAAGACAAATGCTGTCAACAGCAGAGACATAGAAATGTTTTATTTAGGATGGTAAGGTACAGAAATATATCCCTATTTGTATTTTTTTTCTTTTTCCTCTCTCTTTTTCCTTTTTTTTTTTTTGGGGGGGGGGCACGGGGGGGAAGGGAAAAAGGGGGGTAAACAAGAACCAAGTAGATTACATACTTTTTTGGTTGATCAAATTTAGACTCAGCGCAGAAATAAAAATGCCCAGTGTCAGTGGAAAATAAAGTAAACTAGATGAAATAATGACCTCATTATTTTTGGTTCTGAATTGCAGTACTATAGTAATGTTATAACAGGATGATTTAGCTCAGTATAATGCTCCCAGTTGTCTTATTTTCCTGTTAACAATGTTTGTTTCTCTCCATAGCCAAAGTAACCCTTCAAGGTTCTGCAAGAGTGATGAACAGAAACCTCTGCTAGTCAGTAGTGACTGCTGGTGGGGGAAACTCTAAGGAGCTATTCTTCCATATTTCAGTCCTTTATGATATAAGCCAACATTTCCTAGTGAAACAGAACAGACCAACATCATAAGGGAAAGGGAAGGACAGGGAGTGACTGAGAGGATTGTTCACATTCCCTTCAATTTATTTTTTTTTCCAGTGGTAAAGCATGAATCTGAAAAAGTTAAATGTCTGCGATTAGGCAAATCAGCCCACATGCAGTTGCCAAAATAAATACAAATTACTGAGGCACTTGCACTTACATTAGATATTGAGCCACACTGCACTATGACTGTGATCTGAGAGTTCAGGTTCCAAAGCAAAGGCATGTAGTTAATACCCCTGTGGTGGTTTTTTGTTTGTTCATTTTTGTGAGTTAGAACAGATGTGACTTTAGCATGAAAAGGATTTGAGCAGTTTGAACATCTTTTTACTTGGCATATATCTTTCAGTTAAACCTGAAAACAAAATACTACTTCTCAGACTATTAAGATCAGAATTGGCTCTCACATACCTTTGCTTCTAAGTAACAGTGGTACTGTTTCAGACTTTTATGTTCATGAACTGAATGAAAAATTGCACACTTCCTTCTGCAGTGTTCTATTTTCGTAAACTCTGAGCCACCCTATATGAATAACATTAACTTATCAAATAATCCAAATATCATCCCACTTTGAATTATAACAGTTTCTTGTAGTTTTCAGAAAGCCATTCACAGATCTTCCTCTGCTAGTTAGCAGATGGCTAAAACAATTTCAACGATGTGATTAGAATGGCACAGGCTTTCTACACAGATCCAGTTCAGAACATTTCTATACTCTACTGGAAAAGAGGCAGAATGTACCTTGTAGTTTGCACATCCTGGGATTAGATATGGCATTTGTTCCCAAAACTGCTTATCCTAACTTGATGGTCGCGTACTGAAGTCCACATCAGTAAAGGTTTGGAACAGATCCTTCATGTTTGCCAGTTGTCTTGTTGTCTTCAGCACTTATCATAAAAAAAATGGGAAGCACTGCTGCTATTCCCTATGACAGCAAAAAAAAAAAGTCACCGTTTATAATGATAAATTCATTAAGCATTTGAACATTATAGTGATAAGTATGCAAAAAAACAAAAAACAAAACAAACAAAAACAGCCATAAATACATTAGTATTACTGTCAGAGAGGGATTTGGATTTCATTCAGTAAACAAAGCATGCAGCCACATGCTGTATGAGTATAAAAAAGACATATAGGGCAGCTGGTTCCTCCCCCGAGCACTATCAATACTGTGTTGCAAGGCCTTGATCCAAAGTTAGTGATTGCAACTAAAAGATTCCAGCTAACAGCAGTCAGCTGTGGACTAGGCTCTTGGTGAGGAAGACATCTGCTCTAAAATGGGCAGATAATCATATTTAAATTCTTCCAGCACATACTCACAGAAGTAGAAAAAAAACACATAATAATTTGAACTGGGGGGAGGGACATCTGGAGGTCCTAAGTCCAAACTCCTGCTCAAAGCATGGCCAACTTCAATGCTAGAACAGGTTGCTCAGGACCTTTTCCACTTGAGTCTTTAAAATTACCAACATCTTTAACCCCCCAGGCAGGCTGTTTCAGTGCTTAGCCACTACGTCTGTGGCATGTACATAGCAAAGCAACATTCAGACAAGATCTAGCTTTTTGGTTCATTTTTCAGCACAGTACTTTTTCAGGTTTGTGTCCAAGTTCATATTCATATACGGTTAAAATTTTTCAGACAAGAGTTGCATTAGATGCATTTATAATGTCCATTCTTTGTTGGTGATTCTAGTAGTGAGAGTAACATCAGCCATAAATTTAGGAAATAATATAAGCAAATGTTTTATAGTCAGCAGTCCTTTTGTGTTCCAAGCTTCTTCTTTTGTTGTGGTAAACGCTTATTGGTCCCAGAGATAGGATTAGTATGTACTTCCCACGAAATTAACAATGTGGAGGCACTTCATAAACACCCCTTATTTCAAACATCAAGGCTTTCTTTTGCTAGGACACTTTCAGAGGTGAGATTCCATAAATCTTGAATTAAAGAACACATGATAGATGCATCATGGGGAAGAAAAGCATTCCTGGGATTTAGTCTGTTGCCACTTAGCTCTCCCTAATATCACTGATGGTGCTGCAGCCATCGTGACAGAAATGTTCAGAGCACAGCTACAGTCTGCCTCCAGTGCACACGCAAAATGTCAGTGCATTTTTTCCTCTTAAAGGATCTGCTTTAATAGATAGAACATTACTGGCAACAACAACAAATATATTGTCATTAAAATTTCAAATTAAATTTCATTTCATATTATTTTGTTTTCCATAGCAATGCTTATCCACATTCCTTGACTTAGTAAAAGTTGTTAACTGTTTTCCAAAAAAAAAAAAAAAAAACCAACCCAAAAAGTCTTGCTCTAACTGGCACATAGTATCACACACCATTTTCATACAATCTCATTTTCTGAGGTGTTTGCTTTTTGTGGACCATTTCATTATCATGCAAATGGAGTTGGGCTATTTCTGCAGACAATCTAATTGTTGGCATAATATGTTCTCATTATTTGTATAGTGTAGCAGTTTGTATTAGGCTATTATCAAGTGTAACAGAAACACGTAACAGCCTGAGTTTTCAGAAATGGAGGCTATTCTTTATCAAAAGCTGTATGACCTGGATACAGATCCAGTCTAGACTCACAGACAAATATCAGCCATTCTGAACTGCACAACTCTTCTGGGGCCCAAACATGCACTCTTTGGGACAACAGGAGCAATACTGGAAGCTTTCTTTCCCCTAGTGATTGCCTTTTTGAACAAGCTCTAACTCTTACACCTTGAAGAAAACATTATGATATGTAAAGGAATTGAGATAAATAAAGCACTACTAAAATAGCAAATAGAGAACAAACCAATTTGCTTTTAGCTAGCAATTGAAATGCAAAAGTTTCAACTTTCATTCTACTTCCTAACAATAATTCTTGTGTTTCAGGATATGCTGACAATTTAGCAGAGTTGAACTTTGGCACGTAGTCATCCACAAATAAGCAAATTTGCACACTATTTAGGTTGACCCTTGCTGCAGATATATGTTGAAGTTTCTTAATTAAAAAAGCACCTTAGAAGCATTTCCAGTTTTCACACCGGATAAAACAACTTTCAAGGTTCTAAAATATCAACTAAATATTACAGTAGAAAGAATAATATTCTCCCCCCATGGCATGATGTAAACGACGATTACAGTTTAGCAGCCATTTTTACTTGTTTACAAGATATTTCAGTGTTACTCAGTATTTTGAAGTGGAAAAGATGATGGTAAAGTGATAATCAAACTTTTGTTGCAGTGAACAGCAGTCGCTTCCGAACCATATGGACTAGAAATAAGAAACCCATATCCCTCTGTAAGGATTGAAGTCCTCGGCTAAGTCACTCAGGGAAAGCAGCTAAAGTTCAAGGGTTACCAGTTTTCAACAGTATGCAATATGATTTAATGTAATATAGTAGATCAAACCTGATGTATCAGAGGAAGGTTTATAGTTTTTTTAATTGCCAGTTTTCTGCTGAAAAATATTACCTCCATACATATGTGTTGTGCTAACAAGTGAGTTTGCTGCAAGTACCAACGCTTCTCAAATAGTATGTTTTCTTGGCTCATTTCACTTTTGCTGTTAAAAATTTTTGGTCTGTTGAAAATATTGGATACTGAGTACCAATTTGCGTCTTCTAGTTGTTAGAAATTATCAAGCACTGCCAAACTGTGGAGGGTGATCCAAAAGTAATGCCTCATATTTTATTACGTTAGACTGTGACATCAGAGGCAGATGTTGGTGGTATGGCAGTAGAGGTTGAACCTTCCCACCAACACTTCATTACATTTTGTTGCCAAGCAACAGATGACAGCAAAGGGGCAGTCTGAGAAATTGTCAAATTGTCATCTGATGTAGAAGCACATATGAAGTAAAGGTTGTCATTGAATTCTTCCATGTGTAAAAAAATGGCACCCACCCACATTCATAAATGTTTGCTGAAAATTTCTCTGGACTGAACAGTGGTATTGAGCTCAATGAGGCAGTGGGTGGTGTGTTTCATGAGTTCCAGCAGTGGCAACAGCAGGTCACCTCTGCTTGTTCACATTGTTACAAGAACAGCACGCAGACTCCTCTTCATCACTGGTGAAAATGCATAGCCAATGATGGTGACTGTGTGGAAAAACAGTTTTGTGGCAGAGAATTTGGTCTATCAAATAGTGTTATTGTGCTCTTTGTATCTGTTGACATTTCCATGGAAATAAGGAGGAGACATTACTTTTGGAGTGACCTACATGTATATATAACCTCATGAAATTGCATGCCACTGTTTTTCAGCCAGAAGATGGGGCAGCCTACACTGGGGGCACAGAAATCTAGAGGGAGTGTGACAGGTGTACTATAAAGAGCATGCACACATATACTCCCATCCAACCATGTGGAAGTCTTCGCGGTATCACAGTGAGCAATACTTTAGTATTTCTTCTCTTTTCAGAGACTTCTGGCTCTCTTTTCTTCCTGGTATGGGTGCAGGGATGTCTATATTCTCCTAATCTTATCTCAAGCTTTGGGTCAAATAGGATGTGAGTCAGTTTTTAAGAAAGATGGCACAGATGAGAGAATTGCAGTTGCTCCTGCCTGCCACTGGCCAGTGAATGTCTTTGTGCACATTTCTGCTAAATAGGCTCCATGGTACTCAGCTCAGCCCTGGCTCCAATCAGGTTTTGTTTCTCCAAATACTCTCTGAGCTTCTTTCTATTCACTCTAAAGCTGCCTCAAGAAATACTGACTGATTGCAGTGTTTTTATATGAGACAAGAAATACATTGCTATAGAGCCTTCCAGCAATTTGATTTATAGCTGTGCAAGCACTCTGGTAATTGCATGTAATAAGTTACTGGTCCAGACCACAGCATCTTGCACTTACAAATGCTAGAGGGAACTCTTTTTGCTTGTAAAGCTTTTCTGAGTCTTATACACTCTTCTTAGTTCATTTTCGATAGATTTTTAAAAGGATGTTTTGTCACACTTGGTGAACTATCATCTAGGAGAGTTCCTCTTAATGTACTTTCAGCTTTTTCAGTGTTCTGAAAAAGCAGACTTATGAACAACATTTTAGTTATATTGCAACCTTTTTCCACCATTCACATTCACAATTAATTAACAATTAATCCCTTCTGATGTTATGTTTCCTGCTGATATGACTTGCTTTCTTTGAGTCTCGGAAATGTCAGCTTTAAATAAATAATATTCTGCCATCTGTAACCATTTGCCTTGTCATATTTATTGGTCTTTTAAGCTTGCTAACAAACTTTAGATCCAGAAGTCAGTTATGCTCCGTAAAAATAACCAAATTTTCAGAAACACTGTGAACCCCTAAGCATAACAAAAGATCAAATTAAAGGAATAGATGGAAACAATCTTGGTTTGGGAAATAGAAAAGGACACGTGATTTAATTGTCCAATTCGTTATGCAAAGGCAAGGGACAGCAAATAATAGCTACCACAAAAGAAACTCTGAGATGCATGGATTACTGTTCAGCCTTCCCAGGCAAGTAGCTTTGCACTCTTTCCAGCTTCGCAGAGTACAGTGACAATCTGTGAGAAATACTAAGCTGGGAAGAACTGAATGAGCACTGAAAGAACAAATGACCTTGATGAAAAGGAGAAACAGGAAAAAAAATGCAATTAAGTTCCATCTAGAATGGGTTACAACTGCACAAATACAGGGCAGGTACAAGAACATTGTTCTTGAGCATTGTTATATCAAAAAAGCCAATCAGTTACCATGCTGCAAGATGCAAATGTACAAATAGGAACCAAATCTATAAGAATAGCGAGCAGTCCTTCTACTGCACTTTAATAGAGATATAGTAACAAGGCTGCAACCAGAACAGTGCTCATATTGCAGAGCTGATTCTAGCCAGACTGAGGAAACTCATTTAGCTTAGACTAATGAAGAAAAGAGAGATGAAAATGGGAAAAAATGTTTTCAAAGTCCTAAACATATAAGAATAATGTCCCTATTGACTAGCTGAATAAGCTAGGAGTCTAACACTGAAACAAGGGGGGATTCAAAACATGTATTACGAAAAAAAAATCCTTTCCAACAGCAAGCACTGGACAATACTAGCATAGAGTCACTGAAGTTGCTGAAGTCCTATAAAACAAATATATCTTGGGAATTCCTTGGATCATAACAAGTTGAGATTCATCTTGCCTAGTTTTATCTGTCTAAAAGCATTCACTCTTTAGTGTGTCATCTGGGAAGCTTTCGCTGTCAGTGAAAGCTTTATTCCAGAGAAAATGTTTCCTATCCTAAACAAAATATCTAGACTAGGCAGGATGAGGGGCTGTCTCCTTGATTAACACAAAAGTAATATGGAGGTCCCATACTATTCAGACTGAATGCCTGGCTGCTTATTTTAAAGCGTTTGCAAGATTAAGGAAATGTATGATACTCTAAAAAAGCATCATATCACATCCTGCTTGTTCAAAATGCCTTCATCTTTAGAACTGTTTCAGTGACATATGATTTCAGTGATTCCAGTGATTTAATGAAAAAAAAAAAAAAAAAAAAAAAAAAAAGCCTGAGACTATTTTTTGAACCAGGCAAAGTTCAGTTAAATGATTGTTTATCTACTTAGTACAATATATAGAACTGAGGAGCTTGTGATTTTTCAAAATCTTCAACGTCATGCTTTCTCTGAAAGACCCAACTGTAAGACAGATATTCCACTACGTTCTACTTGTCCTTGTTTCACAAAGCTTAACCCAAGCAGGCAGAGAAAGAACTTTAGTAGAAGCCCTAAGTCTATCTCACCACAGAAAACAAATATTCACAGAACTTACAGGCAGTGCATAAACAGATACCGAGTTATGTATTGTGCACTTACAAATCTTGTGTATAGGCTATTCATTAAAAAAATACAAAGGCTAAACTTCTCCATGTCAAATTTGGATTCTTCACTAAGTAATGCAGATAAAAAGAACGTGAAGAGAGATACGGTGTTGTACAATCAATAAGTGTACAGAGTTTTAGGCTAAGTAAAGTTATTGCAACACAAAGATAATAAAAGGAAAATGCTTACTGATGTCATAGGCTCACAATATTCTCCATAAGGAGTGATCAGCAGGAAGAGAGCCTTCCTCAGTGGCAGTCAGCATTTAAATGGGATCTAGGAGAGGTGGAGCCAGGCTCCACCCCTCTGGTAGCACAAGTGAATTACCTTCACCTGTGCTCCTGTGGTTGACTCATTTCTTGCCTCAGGTGATCAATCAGAGTTTCAGGCCATGATTCAGCAGTTCCCATACAGGTGTGAAGGACACTGATCCTCAGTAGAGAAAAGTCAGAAAACATTCTCAGTGTTAGTTGGCTTTGTGATGTTGCTGTAGATATAATGAAAGCAATGCAGCATATTTTAACTTTATATACTTTCATTATGTAATTTCCAATTGTATTCAGTTCAGGTAGAAGGTTGTAAATATGAAATTGCTTATCTTTGAGAAAAATAAACACTTAAGAAATAAAATAGCATATGTAGCCACGTACTCCTTCCAATGATGTCACACTGTTGTTGATGGGGTAATTCTGGCCCCATGATATAAGAGAAGCATATAAATAATGGGCATAAGTGCCCTTTTCTCTTTTCTTTTCTCCCCAGACCAGGCTGCTTAAGCAGGTTTGCAGTTCAACAGCTACAGCACAGGTCAATGAATGCTGAATCCATCCAGCAGTTACTTCAGTATTCCACTTCAGGTTAATAACAGAAAAAAGAAAATCCTTTTTATCAGTTCTAAGTTCACACGTGGCTGTTATGGGAGTACAACATCAAAACTTTGAAACCACTGAAGCTTTGATTAAAGCATTGATCCCAACCAGCAGAAACAGGAGATTAACTAAGCACACCTGAAAATAATTATTATAGAATTAGCCCGACATTCACACAACTAAATTTGAAGAAGGTATTTACTTCAGCACATAGTTGAAACAGAAAATTAAATTTCATCCAGATAGAAAAGCTTTTCGATTCTAATCCAGTAAAACAAATGTTTACAAAATTGACCATGAGTATATTGTAGTAAGAGATCTTGGATAAATAAAGTATAATTGACTGTCATTCCTTGAGGGCTTTTTCCTAAATTAGCAGTTAAAACTCTATAAGACTAGAATCCTGATAAGTTGTCATTAGAGTTCATAGTTTTGGTAGTAACTTTTATGCAGTACTCTGTCTAAAATAAGAAAGTATACTTAATATAAGTACTGGCATAAAAAATTTCTTGGATGATGAACCTTTATCAAATTGGATGGAATATGGTCCTTGGAATATTGCTAAGAAATGTGTACTGACATAGAAAGCAAGCTGCAAATCAGTTGGAGGTAGAATTATTATTTGTTTAATAAGGTAAATAATCAATTTATAAACATTAAATTCATAAAGTAGCCTATGATGATGTCATTGACACGGTGATAGGTGGAAAATGGCATGTAGGTAGAAATGTGATTCATGAGTGATGGCCTGTCTAACACACAACCTATTATACAAAGGATGGAAGTGATGAAATGCAACTGTTTGTATCTGAATTTGAAATATGTCTTTAAAAAATAATACTTTCAACAGAAAAAGCAAAACATATTAACAATCATGGTTTCTTACTTGTCATTTTTATAGTTTTCCATGTCATTTAATGCAGGGAAAGTACAAGATGTCACAAAAGCAGAGAAATTTGTTTTATCGTAGAAAACTCCTGTCACGCTACTCCTCATAAAAGAAAATAATCTATAGCATAAACTAAATTCCTGGAAGCATCAGGGCTGAGATTCATCAAAGGTAATGGGATAGCTGATCTGTATTAGATAAGATGCAGAGAAGATGTATCTAATTCTGAGATTCTCTCTGTGTTCACAGTAAAAGAAGTGTGGACAACTAACAGTACACTGGACAACTACTGAGCAATGTCTATGCTGCACTACAGCAATGAATATTGTTATGTTGCAAAAGTCTACATGCGATCAAGTGAATATCAGCCTGAGAAAATTTCTGTGAATTTGGTAATTTCAGAACTGTTTCCATTCCTGTAATTCTAGCAGAATGTGTATAAAAACCTACATGAAAGTAGGTCTCTTTCACCAAGCTCCCGTGTTGGTACACCAGGACTGACAAGCTGAACAAAAACACAGAATTACTATAGTTGGGCTACATATCTTCAAATCATGTAAAAGATCCTGTGCTATTTGAAAGTCCTCTTCTAACCAGAAATTCTCTGGTAAGTAGTCAGAATTAATTTTAACTGTTAATTATCTACAGACATGTAATCAAAATCAATAATAATTCTTAATTCTAAAAACTTTCCTGTAAAACAATGTCTTACATTAACTGTGTTCTCCTATTCAGAAACATAGGAAGGCTTTCAAAAACTTCCTACAGTTTGCTCATTTACACTCAATTTATGTGAAAAAAGATTAAAAAGGTGTGGATCCAATCATCACCACTGTTTCAGCCTGTCTGTCATCAGGACAAGCGTCGTAGTATCAGCATCTGAAGACAGTGGTTTAATTTACATTCTCAAAAGGTAATGATATCAATTTCAGTTATCCATATACCACTACAGAGGTTTTGTTTCATCTGTGCTTATTGTGATATATCTGCTAGGCAAATTTTATCTGCGTTTTGCATAAATAAGAACATCTGTACAAAACAGGTAACACCACTACTTAATCTCCACTTTGGCACTTATAGTTGGCATTTTTTTTCCTGTATACATCACAGTATGTTATTTCTATTCACTGAAGATATAGAAGTGAAAAAGTGTTCAGTTATAAATGGTTTTCAAGTCATAGCATTTCTTGCATTTGCCTCAAGCTATGTCAAGCCAGAAATTTAGAGGGTCATAGCAATGCCTGCTAAGTGACTGTTCTTAAATTTGCACTTCATATTAACACACACACAAAAAAAAAAAAAAAAAAAAAAAAAAAAAAAAAAAGCAATATATAGTATTCCTTGGCAATATTTTGGGTGACATGAAAGTTCCAGATATGCATGAAATAAGGCCTTAATATTAAAGCAGGTAAAATTCTAATCCATTCTGGAATCTGTCTCTCTGAATGATGGCTAGGCTTCCAGTAATATACTCTGATTAAGAGTCTTGCTTGTGTTTGCTGCTGAGTTTTTTGCGATTATTATCTAAACTGTAAACTGTATTGACAAAAAACAATTGAGTCTGTAAAGCCCATTAAAACTCTATTCATTTCTGTTATCTATAGAAATTGCATATTCTTATTTCTTACATTAGCCCTGGATGTTTCACGTTGGCCATAATTTCAGTTCTTCTGTAATCTGGCACTATTCCTTCTAAAATCAGAAGGGATTTCATATGATTAACGTAGATTTCTGAAGTCTGGATAATATCTTGATTGAGCTTCACATACTCTGTGTCTTTGCCATCACTTGCATTTCTGATTGTGTTCTTTGTGAGTTGACAGTGCTTTTATCACACCATCATCTCTTTAGTACACAGTACTTCCAAAACTTCTATTCTTCTTTTGCTTCAACTTTTGATCAACTGTCCTGAAGGGAAAGTATAGATAAAAATATTCACAGAGCCTAATAATATTGTTCAAATATTTTCTCATTTTCAAAAATGCATACTTCTGGTTTTGTTATTTATAATAATGAATCTCTAAACTGCCCATTTGGATCTTTCTATATACCAATTCAGAAATAAAGTTATTCAGTCTTAACTTAGCCATGATAGAAACAGATGAGATCCAAACTAATTCTTTAAATGTAATCTCTAAGCCTAACTCTAACCCCTAGATTTAAGACTAGCAACAACCCCGATTGTCTTGCCATATCCCAACTAATCTCAACGAAGCACTAACTCAAACCCTCAAGATTAAACACAAAAATAAAACCAAACCTGTGATACTGAACTCTAACTCTAGGGCTACCCTTAATTCTTAATCCTAATTATAAATCTTAACTTCATCCATACACCTAAAAGTTGTAACATGCACCATCATCCCAAAACTTACCCTGAACTAATGCAACATCCTAATCCCTAGCAGAACACACTTAAAACCCCAACCTAAATCTGAATACTAACACAACTCCTAACTTTAACCCTGAACTCTAAAAATAACTTCAAGAAAATCCCTAAACCTAAACTTGAATACCTCACTCTCAACCTCAACCCTAACTTTAAATACTTTAACTTAAATGCCAAACCTAAACTAGCAAATTGTCATCCTAAATCTTAGCCTGAACCCCAAAACTAACACTAATGATTAAATAAAACCAAACACAGGCCCTTAACACAACCACCTAATTCTGACTGTTAATCCTAATGAAATTTGAACCTTAAATCAAAAGCTCCAGAACAAACCCTTAACATATAATAAAACCCTATCACAAACCCCGAATCAAAAATGCCTATAATCTAGTTCACATCCCAAAACTAAGCCCTAACTCAACCTTCTGTATATATACAATAATAAAGTAGCTTATATATATAATATAAAGTAGCTGTCATGGGATGGAAATTCCAGTCAGCAAAGCAAGGAGCTGCTATATCAGCCTTTGAGAAGGAATGTTTATTTTCAATGATAAAACACAGTGACATGTCAAAAGAGGGAACTATAGTCAATGAGCCCAATAGTTCCATTACAATTCTAGGCTCTGTACATTAACAACAACAAAAAAAAAATGTAAGGGAATATATGGGCTTTATGTAAGGGCTTTAGTCATATTTTCTGGTATGAGTTTATGCATCTCTTTATGACAGAACAGAAACAAATAGATTCAAAGAGCTTAGAGCATGTTAAGTCATATTGTTTGATGTTCTGTAATGAAAATCCATTACTTTTCCCTCAGTTAACTCCATTTTGAATGTTATAAACTGTCAAAAACATATCTTCCAGGTAGGTATCTGATTTCAACTGAAAGAATTCAAAGGATTGAAAATCCTCCACAGTTTTCAGAACTGCATTCCTTTGGACAATTAAACATCTATACAATATTTCTGATTTGAATTTAGTGACTTTAGCCTTTCACAATGCTATCCTCCAAAAAGTTAAAAATTACATCAGTAACTCCTATTTTCTGCCTGTGAAGTGACTTATAAAATAAAATCAAGTTAACTTAAATCTTCTTGAAAGATAAAAAAAAGTCTGAGCTAAGCCATTTGCTGTCATTTCCTCTAGACTTCAAATACTGCTTGTGTATCTCTTCTAAATTTCTCTATTTTTTTCAGCTATCTTTTTGAAATATGGACACTAGAATGATTTGCATAATTTTAGATCCAGCCTTCTGTGATAGAGTTTATATTTCAGAATCACAGGCCTTTCAAAATCAGATATACTGACAACTTGTATATTTTAAATGTGGGAGAGGTATGAGACAGCTGTATAGAGCTGTATTGCTACGTGTGTATATTTTCTGGCTTAATGAGTGAAGTTTTTATGTAGAAACAATGGATAAGATGAGGGGAATTACTGCAAATCACTGCTATAAATAAATTACTTTCACCTGAAGAAATTTCCACGTTCAATAGGCATAAAAAGCTGAGTCAACCTGCATAAAGAGCAGACACTTGCATTGAATTACAGGTCTAACAAAACCGTGTTAGTGTCTAACATTCTATAACAAATTTGCTTTAGATATTCTACACATGAAGAATTTAATGTTTAACTCCAAATTAAATTATTAGAAGCTGTTTTGATGTTATATGTCATTTTGATTTTGCAGGATGATAACAGCAACGCACTCAAATCAGAATACACACACAAATTACCAGA